AAAACCATTCAAAAGTTAGAAATTACATCAAAAATCACTATCTATCACTGGTGACAAAAAACTACCACAACAAGAAATCTCGCGTGCCAGCAAAAACGTTCAAGCTAACTGTGACGAGACTACTGCTTCGGCTTTCCTTCACAGTTCTTACAGAGGGTTATGTTTCACTGTATTTTCGACCTGACAGTGCAAGATAACTGCTTCTGTTACGAAAAGAAGGCATTTAGTCAAGCCGGTTTAATGCAGATGTGTGATAATTTCAAAAAATAGCGGCGCGCACCAGGGTAGCTGGTTTTGCGCAGTTTCAACCAGCAGACGCTTGCCTTCTAAGGATTTTCATTGTTTTATACCTTAATCTTTGAAAACATATTCGATATGCATTTGGCTTCTAAGATGCGAAATTTCCCATTAAAGTTTCACGTACCACTACGCGAAAAACAAACGTACGTGAAAGATGAATTTGAAATCTTGGACAATGAACAATGTCAAAAAAATTTCAAACTTCTGGTTCTCTGGCTTCCGAGTAACTCCTGCACTAAAAATTCACGTGGTAAGACCTCGACATACTTTAGTGGTAACTTTGAATTTGTTAGGACAGCATAAACAGAAAATATCCTCCTGAGGTTTCCAGCCTTCCTGCTCTTCTCGCTCCCAAGACAATAATTTTTTCCACCAAAACTTACACGGGGCCGCACGCGAAACCAGGATTTACGTGAAAACTGAATTCGAATCTGCGAGGTTTTAAGTCAGCAGGAGAAACCACTCTGAAATTTCAGCCCCTTGCTTTTGTAGTTTCCAAGGTAATAATTTCCCCCTCCAAAATTTTCACATGGCCGTGATACCCGGGACCGCGAGAAGGCTAAGTTTAAAGGGGGACAGAGGAGGTTACCGTAACATTTCAGGCCCCCAGCTTTCATGGTTCCCGAGATAACAATTTACCAAAATTTTTGCGGAGCTGTACGTAATGCCCGGGAGTACATGAAGGCTGAATTTAAGTCTGAGACGTCGTACGTGGGCGGGAAACACTTCACTAAAATCCCAGCTCCCTAGCTTCTTCGATTCCCGAGTTGAAAACCACAAATAAAATGCACTCGGAACACAGAGAGACAGACGCACACACAAAAACACACAGACGCGGTCTCGACAAATGCGTTTGTGCAACTGTTGCAGGACAAAACGCATACAAACCGTGCATCAAAAGCCCTAGGAAACACAACAGCATCGGAAGACTTCGCAGTACGCCAGCCAGTCAAAACGAAAGTTTGTTGCCTTGGGAACCGTCCCTCTCAAAATCGTTCAAATTCACTTACTGAATGCACAAAAATTTCGCACATATCGTACCAGGACAACTGTTCCTGCTTTTTAGTAAAATACCTTTATGGATAAAAGAAGCGACAGAAAGAACATACCTTTCTGGTTGCTTTCCACGAGTCGGGGAGCACGGTCCTGTCTTTTACGTCATTGGAATCGAGGTGTCGCTCTCTTCAAAATATAAAAAAGAGAATGAGTGGTTTTTTAATCCAAAAATACATTTTTAGGAAGCAACTTTCAGAGCAACCACATTATTAGAGCGAACAAGGCACAGTTCTCAACTCTTTTGTTAGGTTACCTAAATTGATCAGCAACAAGACGCAGATGTTTTGCATAACGCATGGAGCGCCTCGCTTCCCAGTAATGAAAGTCACCAAAATGTGAATGAAGCACCGTTTCTGCTCGATCGATCATCAGCGAACTGGCACGATGATGATCCTTCTCGATAAGCGTGGCTAAGGTCTCCGAATCCCCTTGTATCGAAACGCATGAGAATGCACGAGCATAGACGTTATCATACGCAAAAAACCATCCTTTCCTGGAATTGCGCCAAAAATGCTCTACTAGACTGATCCAGCTCCGGTCTCAAATAAAAAATTCCATCAAATTCTAGACATACACCAACTTCAGTTAATTATTTAAAGATTACATTCGTTGGCTAAGAAAAGTTACTAATCACAATACCAAAGCCCATTAATGAATTTGTAATGGCGATCACCAACGATGCAGTCTCGTTCTTCATATTTTAGTTCATATTTTCCATTCGTCCAGCCTTCGGCATAGCCTTGTAAATACAGCACCTCATCAATTGCATCATTATTGGTTTCTAAAAATAAATAATGTGCCAGTTTTCATGTGAAAAAATCGCCTCATTCTGAAAAAGATTCTGAAAACGTTTCAGAAAATTCACTAGAACTGGGCCCAGGACTCACTGTAGTGCTGCTTTAATCTCACCTTTTCGAAAATCACCAAGACCGCACCTGTAACCGATGCAGAGAAGCGATGCGCGTAATGTTACTGAAGCCGATGTCACGTCCTTAAGTCCACAGTTGCGTGTTCCCAGACAGCACCTATCGCCTGAATGATGTACGTGCACCATTTCTTCGCAGCTGCCCAAGTGATTTTTCACTTTTTCGTAGGTACCACTCAATTATCCGCAATTTGAT